AAATTTCCCCTCTGAGCATTTTTTGCTACAATCTATATGTTTTGTTATATTGTTTTCTGTTTTTGGTAGTGGGGATTGAACCCAAGGGCTCTTTATCACTGAATACATCGCCAGACCTTTTATTTTTTACTTTTTACTTTGAAACAGGGTTTCACTAAGTTGCTGAGGGTCTTGGTAAATTGCTGAGGCTGCCCATGAACTTGTGATCCTCCTGCCTCAGCCTCCTGGTTTACTGAGATTACAGATAAATACTACAACACCCGGCTTAGTATGTTGTGTTTTTCTTTTTATTCTCTCAAAATATTTTCTTTTTTGGAGGAGGGGGCAGGTAACAGGAATTGAACTCAGGGTCACTCGACCACTGAGACACATCCCTAGCACTATTTTGTATTTTATTAGAGACAGGGTCTCGCTGAGTTGCTTAGCACCTCACTAAATTCCTGAGGCTGGCTTTGAACTCTCGATCCTCCTGCCTCAGCCTCCAAAGCCACTGGAATTACTGGCATGCGCCACTACACCCGGCCTCTCTCAGAATATTTTCTAATTTCTCTTATTATTTCTTCTTTGAAATAAGTTAAGTGTGCTTATTTAATTTCCACATATTTACTATTTCCAACAGTAAATGTCTGTTATTGATTTCTAGCTTCATTCAAGTATGGTCAAAGATAGTACTTTCTATGACTTTAATCATTTTAAATTTTCTGATAATTGTTTTAACAAGGTCTAGCATATGACTATCCATATAAAAGCATACAAAAATTGTGCTCCATTCCTCCCTTTTTATGGGTTATCATCACAAATTACACGTTAATACATTGTATGCCCATTAACATAGCTTTGTAATTATTGTTTTATGTGTTTGCATATGTTTATTAAATTGTATGAAAAAAAGAGGAGTTACAAATCACAAATATGGTATTGTTGACTTTTATATTTATTTAATTATCTTTTCCAGTGTTCTTTATTTCCTCATTTGGCTGAGAAGAAGAACTTAAGTCACCTTAAAGGAGGGAGCTTCTATGTATTATTATAGCAGTTGGGTCTTCCAGGAAACTCAGGCAGTGCAAAGGCTCCCCTTTAAACCCCAATTCTTGCTATGGAGTCAGAAGGATTTCAGGAATGTTGCTCAGAATAATAGGCATGAGTTTATTAGACGTCGTAGGAAAGAGAAAAGGGGAACACTCTCAAAGAAGGAAGTGGGTCCTCTCAAACAAGAGAAGGACAGCACACCTCTGCCTCCAGTTTTATTGGGGGTCCCAAGGAAGTTTCCAGGGAGTCCCACCCAGGTCCACCTCTTGACTTTTGACTGACAGCAGGATAATCTCAGACTTTCAAGTTCCCATTGTCATGATAACTCTAGGTCATTTGGCCCATACTGACCACTTCTAATTGGAACCTGTCCTTACAGATTTTATGTAGTGAGGATTATGCTTGTCTCCCCGAGTTCCATGATCTGGTCTTGAGAAACTAATGTGACTCCTTTTTTTGAGAAATCAGCCTGTACCTCAGAGCAAAGCCTGTCCAAGGAAGGGGGAGTGACTGTTAAGGTCTGTAGACAAGTCAAAATAACACGTGGTATTTTCCCAGAGAAATGTTAGAGTTCGTAAACAAGTCTGGATGGTGCCTGGCAAAATG